GGATCATCCAAAGAAGTTTTTATCTGTGTGTTAGTGTCTTTGTCACCAAAGGGAGTCATCCTGACTCAGTGTAATTATACTAAGTGCTCTAAGTGGTATTATTGAATTTGTTATTCTAACATAAAGATGGAAACTTTTTCTGTTTCTGTATTTTATAAAATGTCCCTCTTTAATCTCTCGTTTTTTGAAAGCCTAAAGATGCCAGGTAACAAATACTGTACTCTAGCACATCACCTTTTACATATAACTTTGTAGTTTCTTCCACATTCATTATGACCTTCAGAATTAGCTCACTAATATTGCTGTGGCAGGGATCACTAATTGGATATTGTTCAAAAATTCAGTGAAGCATTTTGCCTCGCTAATGTGTGTAGCATCATTGGTGAGGCTTCATAATTCTTTTCACCTGGCTGTTCAGTGTATTCTGTTCTCTAACACCCCAGCAGAAGCTGAATGTGCACATATTTGCCTGGGCTAACAGTAGCCATGCTTCTTTAGTAAGCATGTATATAGAATTACTATTAGCAGCCAGGAATTCTTAACACATTACCTTTCTCCTAATGCACAATTATCGATGCATGCTCAGCCATTGCTGAGTTTCTCATCTCTGTGTACACAGGCATTTGATGTATGCACTAACCTTCCTGAAATCCTATGCTGCTTTGTTTTGCATGGCTTTTAACTAAACTCTTATCCAACAGATGCTGAGCAGGAATTACTCTCAGATGACGCTTCATCTGTTTCACAAATTCAGTCTCAAACTCAGTCACCGCAAAATATCCCTGAAAAATTGGAAGGTATTCCATATAATTTCCCATAGCATTCACTAAGTTAAACTTAAGAATCTGTTCCTCTTTCATTTGTGTTTATGTAAGGAAATGGAAAACCTGATTGCAGTAAGTTTGCCATGGATTGTACTTAAAGCTCCCAGTTCTTTTATATGTTTCATGAAGTGGGGCACTACTTTTATTTAGTGTTTATATTGACCTGCCTTAATCTGGGTTTTGATAACTCATAGTTCTTAAGAATTTGTGAAATTAAAATTGGTTTGTCATAGGTCTTTTACCAGAAGCATGAAACCTTTTCAATTTAGATTCCCAAATGACTCCAAAATTAAAGGAAAATATATGTTGTTTTCCTCATTTATATTGACTTGAATTAGAGTGAAATTGTCAAGTCATCAAACTGGACTTAATCTCGCCTTCGTTTTTTGCTCTAACAACTTTGTTCCCTTCCCCTTTATACTGCTTAAGAAAAATTGCCTCATTAATAGATCTTTGTCCATTAAAAAATAATGATCTATCTTTATTGGAATAAAGTAATGACTTAGTATCTTGCTAAAACATTTGAGTTCTGTAAAATAAAGCAAAAGACATTAACTGTGCAAAATAACCAAAAAACTCTCCCTTTTTGTAGAAAACCACGAGCTCTTTTCCAAGAGCTTCGTCTCCATGGAAGTGCCTGTCATGGTCGTGAACGGCAAGGATGACATCCATGATGTTGAAGATGAGCTTGCTCAGCGAGTGAGTAGGTTAACCACAAGCACGACCATAGAAAACATCGAGATTACCATTAAGTCTCCAGAAAAAATCGAAGAAGTCTTGTCACCTGAAGGCTCACCTTCAAAATCTCCATCCAAGAAAAAGAAGAAATTCCGCACTCCTTCTTTTCTGAAAAAGAACAAAAAAAAGGAGAAAGTCGAAGCCTAAACAAAGTCTTTTTATAGTTGTGATTACGATGTGACGTTGCACATTTCAGTACCACATTTAAGTTGATCATTAACATGCAGTGGTAGGTCAGGTTCGGGGTACGTAGCAAACTGGACTCTGAGAACTGGAAAGGGGTTTACTAAAAGAAACACGCATTATGAAAAAAGCTTTCAAATTCATCTCTGATTTTATATGTCAAAAAAGGCTTTGAGTTTTTAAACAGCTGCTAGTTTCGAGTAGCTCTACCCTCATGAAGTGTTACAGTTCACCACAAACAGCTATCTGTCTGAAATACTTCGGGCCTTTTCTATGGTATCTGTTGGAAAGAAATTACCAGGAGAAAGGGAGAAAATTTTTCCTTTCTCCGCACCTGCTTCACTTGGTAATCAGATTATACTTTTTTATTCCTATCGACCGTACCTTTTTGGTTCCCATTGTTTCAATGGGCATTAACAAAATGCTTTAAAAAGCTTCTAAGAATCTATAGGGTTAGTATACACTGGCACATAATTTTTTTAAAAAAATATATAAGAAAAGATTCATTTGAAATTTTATTCATAGTATAAAATTTCCTCACCTGAAGTAACTTTGTTTGCCAAAAAAAGGTCATTTTAGTAAAATATAATTTTTGAAAAACTTCCTTTTTTATTAGTTTAGAAAGCCCCTTATTTTTCAGCAAAGGGGATTTTATACACATAACATGGGTTATTTAGTTAAACTCTGGCAAAAAAAAAAAGATTTTTGTATGTTGAGATGTTTGTATACCATTCAGTATAAAAATGTCATAAGCCTATTAGCCAATCATTTAACAATAGAGCAGATTTGAGGCTGCTTGGTACTAAGTAAACTCAAATATAATTCAGGAATCCAGGGACTTGGTATGAAACGGGGTTAGAGGATTTAAAGGTATACCTTAACTAAGTCCATTTTTGAACCATATAATGTATTTTTCTCTTAGTATTGCTCACGAATGAAGAAGCTCTCATGATAACCAAAGGAAAAAGGAAAGAATAAGAAAGTGAAAAATGAAAGGAACAAAAGGGGTGTCACATACAGGAGAATTCTAGATCGATAATGACTCACAGTCAACAGATTTGAAGTCTAATTTATTCGAAACGTCCCAAATTTCTAAAATTCTGCTTCTCTTCCAAAATCATTGTATTTCTTGGTTGATAGTTTGGTTTTGAAGGATCAAATCCTTTTAACTGATGGATGTTTAGAAGGCAACACTAGAAGAAACCAGTAGGTCTAACCCCCGTCCTCCAGTGAGGAAACTACCACTTGTTGATTTTTTACAAATGTTTATCTTTTTAGTTAACTTTCTTTCTAATGTAAATACAAATTTAAACCTAGGCTTAATATAGTTTTTCCCCCCTTCACCCATGTCACAAATCAATGTAAAATCAATGATCCAAAATGGTCAGTGGGTAAAAACAATCCAAAGTGTTTCTGGAGGGTGAGTTGGCATGTAAAACGTTCCATTGATCACAGTGTTTTCCGGGCTGGTTCTGTTTGACCGTATGTGGATGTCGATGCAGAGTTGAAACAGAGCCGGAAATGCATCCTAGATTTCACTAACTACTGGAATCAGTGTTTTAATCTCTTAGTGGAAGACTTTCAGTTTAATTCTGTACTCGAGGATTTTCTTTATGTTCTGTGTCATTTATGTTGTATTACAATGTATGTAGAAACAGTAACCTGTGAACTATGCTTTTCCATAACTTTTTAAAAATATATATATCTTAAATGAATGCAGTGTGCATTAATATTTTTTAAACTACAACAGTGAACTATTTGCACCTTTTGCTAATGCCTCTATTTACTTGCTCTGGCATAAAGAATGAGCCAATGAACTTCTGTGTCCTGTGGAAAATGTATAAATGTTATCTGATATTGCTCTTAGATGTAATGCAAATTAATGTTAAATCACAAATAAACAGTATTTTAAATAGATGGATTTGGTATCATGACCTTTCAATTCGGAGTAGTAACTTAGCCTGAATTATTTTGTGGGCTGAGTTTTTTACTGTAATGAGATTTTGAAATAGGATTGATGCTTCTGAATAAGGAATGCCCTGATAAATTTATTTTCAAATTAGTTTAAAATTAACTACATAAAACCTTCTTGTTCCAGCTTGTATTGAAAGAAATATACCCCAAGTGACCTATTTTTTTTTGTCTTGATATAGAGTATAGTGACTTTAACTGTGTCTTTGAGACCTTTATAAAGACCTTTCAAGGATTTAGGATTCTCAGTCTCTGTTCCCTTCAGATCTAAGGATATAGAATAGAAAATGCTACAGAATAGGTGCTGAGTTTATATACCCTTCTCTTTGATTTTGATGTAACTGCAACAATAAAGAAAATAGCAGGAAGAATGGAAAATAGGTTACAATTCCACCACGTTAAAAACATTCACCCTGGCTGGTGCAGCTCAGTGAATTGAGCAGCAGCCTGTGGACATTCCCTGGTGAGTCCCTGGTGGGGCACATGCCTGGGTTTCCAGTGGGTCCCCAGTTTCTCTTGTTTCTCTCTCAGTTTTTTTTCAAAAATTTTTACTACTTTCCAGCTCTTGTTTAGTTGTATTTGTATTGCCTGTATATTGGTTATCATGATGTTAGTGGAATTTTATTCTGGATTTTTTCCCTTCTTAGCATAGCATAATCCATCCTAGAAGATGTTTGAACTAAATCCCTCACATAAGTGATTTCTTGTGATTTTTTTCTATTTTGTCTTAAAAATAGAGTATAAGAGGGGAAATCATGTTGATTGAGGGTTCTGGTTATTTGAAGTTTCTACTATAATTACCCATTATAAAAATGAAGGGTTGGAGCAGAGAAGAATAGATTCATAGTCTTGAGCATATTTAATTATTACCTTGGCTTGTAAATAAGCCTGTGGCGAAAAATTGCTGTTTTAGGAAGATATTCATTTCAAAAGTCCCCTGCATAAAGCAACAAAGATAATTATCTTCAGTACTCACTTGAGAGTCGATAGCATGAAAGATGATGTTGCCTGTACCTTTTTCTCTATTGATTATTATTTTCATTCAGCAAGGAATAAAGAGAACCAAATGGATCAGTTGTGACTGCATTGGTTTCTCTTAACATTAACTTTATTTTATGTAGGAGACACATAAAGGCAAGCTTTTAACTCATGGGTGATACATACACATCTAAGTCACAATGTTGGCTAAACCAGGTTTTAAAAAGAAGTCTTTGTGGCCACTAGAGGGTGCAAGAGACCTCACAATCCAGTATGTTTCCAGTCATTGCACTTCACTTCCGTTTATTGGTCTGTAGACACCACCATGTTTGTTGTGAAACGCCCAGAACTTGGAACTGAAGACATTTCCTTCGTTGCGTACGTATCATTCTCCTCACTGGGCTGTTTTGAACTTTGTTGTCCAGTACAAATAACCACTAGCAGGGTCTCTGATGTTTGTAGAAAAGACATTGAAATTTTTTTGAGGTGTAGTTTCAGAAAGAACCCAGGATAGAAAATGACTCCTGGAGAGTTTTCATGCCTCTGAGTGGCAATGTAATACCTCTTTCAAAATAATCGGCTTTCTTTTCCTGAGGAGAGGACTGATAACAGCTGTCACCTGATGCCCTGCGTGTACCAAACGTGATGCTGTTTTTCGTGTTGCTTCATTAGCCTTCCCCAAATCCCAGCAAAGTGACATCCCCCATCTTGAAGCGAATGAGGCCAGGGCTTGTACAAAACAAAAAGGAGATGCAAGAATTGCGCCCATAGAAATTCAGATTTCTAAAATTTTTAGTGCTGTTTGTGACCCAGACCCTGTATGGCTAGAGTGTACATTCTTGGGGATGTTTAGGAAAAGGCCATCTCCTCCGCTTGGACAAAAGTCCAGCCATGGTGACTTCATGTTTTGATATAAGATGGGATATAGATTGGGGATAAAACATTGACTTTTGATCTAGAAGACTTATTTTTTTTCCAACAAGTTACTCCAGGAATGAAAAAACTGGTGAATACCGCGAGAGTGGGAATGACCTGTGGTAATGATATCTACCATCTTTTAGGACACAGACCGGCTCTTGAATCTTCAGCTTGACACCTGGAAGATGAGGTATTTGTACCTTTGCTTAAGATGTAAAAAGACTTGGATAGAAACCCTTTATCTCGTACTTTGTTTTCTTTTTGTTTCCAGTGTTAGGGGCGGAGAGAGACATTCTAAGGAAAGTATTATTTTAAAAACCTGAAAAGACTTTAGTGAATGAAGTAGTTTTAAAGATGAGAAATATACTGTAACTACTTACAGCTTTATTTAAATGAATACACTTGGAGATGATTTTTCTTGGAGGAAAAAACTTATGTATGTGCCAGAGATGAGAACAAGGATAAGCCTCTGAGGACTTTTCACAGAAAAAACTAATTTGCAAATTCAGTATTTTTTCAGATATTTTATTTCTGAGATGATCGGTAGGGGGCAATCCTGGGTCAATCTAAATTTAGTTGTAGTTAATTGAGGGAACCTCCTTGAAAATACCTTTGAGCTTGGATTGAGAACTTCATTCCGATGCTGGATGCAGTTTAAGGTTGAAGAGAGTTTATAGATCCCGATGACTACATTCGTTCCTTACAGCCTCGTTGCCCTGCTCTGGCTTAGGAAGAGGCAGTCCTCCAGAGGAGCCGTGTCGGCCTGTACAACACAGCTCGGAGTTGCCTGCACCAGGATTCAAGCAAAAGTCTAAGGTCTGCACCCCAAGCTTTTCTACTCCACAGTCTCCCTTGAATGCCCATCAATCATAACCTAGGAATACATTAATGTAGGACACACATAGATAAATATGTTCTTCTAAATTTCTCTGCAAATTCACATTTAGAACTTCATCATGGGAATAATGCAGGAGTAAGCCTGATTCTTATCAATAATCATTTTTCGTAAAATTTGAAGTCTGTGAGATGATCTTTGAAAGTCTTGTGTATAGTTTCTTGAGTTAGTCATCATGCTGAGTTCCTTACTGCTGCAACCTGTAATATTTTAAATGCTGGTTATACCTTAAATGGCATACTGGTACCTTTGGAATTCTATAGCAACAACAACAAAAAAAGTAATATCTTTTATTTAGCAAAAAAATAAATGGATATAATCCAGTTCACAATTATTTTTAAGGCCTGTATCATTTCTGGGTGGGTGAGTCTTGACCGAAGTAATAGTGAAGGTTATTGATTATTCTAGTTTTTGTTTTATTGCTACATAAGCTACTTCAGGTTTTGTCCTCTCCAAGGCTGGTCTTGACATCTGTTATAATATCTTATTTTTTATAATCTCATATTTTCAGTCCAGGTAACTCCTGTCACTAGACAAAGTAATAGTTCCTCGCTAAACTCCATACCTTAAAATCAGTAGCATTGATTTATTAATCTAATTTCGATATGGACAGAAGAATATGAAGTTCCTAAGAAATTCTAAAAATATTAGACGTGCTTTTGAAATGACAAATAAGAACACACGATCTCATAGACACGATCTCATAGACACGATTTTCCCTCATTGTGTGTCTGTTTAACCAGACTGCCCCTCAAAAGCCCGGGACATATATGTGTGAGCCCAATGGAGAGACCAATTTGGGGTGTTAATTAAGTGGACTTCTTAGACCAAACAATGTCTTGGCTGGTTGCTATTTAAACTTGAGATTTTTTGTGAGAAAAATGTTGGATTTCCCAAAGCTGTAATATCCTAATAGATGGCCATGGAAGTGAGGAAGTAGTATGGTTATAAAACCCAGAAGTTCAGAGGTAGACTGTTCTGTGGATTTCCCACTGGCTCTCTCTACTTAAATAATCTTTTCTGAGTTTAAAAATAAAGTCGGTGGCGACAATCCCAGCCTGGACCTGGAGCTGCAGTGTCCCTAAACTCTTCAGTGATTTTCCAGACTAGTCCAGTGTGTGTCCTTACCTAACATAGGGCGTTTTCTTTCATGAGCAGGGTTTAAATGAATTGCTTTTTCTAAAAGCAAGAGCTCCTGGTGATTCTGCTTGAGCAGGAGCTCTGGAGGAAGTCGTTGTTGCACTCTACAACTCACCCCTTTCCTGTTGAGTAACGCTCCGGAGCTGGATTTCAGCAGGGACCGGTGTGATAGACTTTGACTTCAGAACAGATGACCTCCTGACAGTTTTATGAGGGCACACGAGATACAGCCAGTTTGTTGGCAGGCGAAGGCATAGGCATATTCTTCCAAAAGTGTTTACTGAACTAACAAGTTAAGGTTAAACATTACTTCCTACCTGACTTCTATTTTGGATATTTGTTTCAATTGTTTCAACTAAAATAAAGGTCATTTGAGGCTGCTAAGACAACCAAAAATGCTTTCTAAAGATTATCTACTAGTCCACAGTGGGAAGAGGTGGCGGGAGGGGGGCTCCCTCTGCACCCGGATGTTTGGGTGTGTTAAGCCTTTTAAAATATGTTGTGTGGTAATTGCGAGGTGTTTTGTTTCTAAAATGTCTTTTAAATAGGTTCATATTTTAGCACCATGTAAATGAAATGATTTTGTAAACGCGTATAGTCTTAACGTCTCCATTTTGACCTTTAGGTTAATATGGACGAGACTGCGTGCACGGACACTTGCTGAAGGCAGGCTGAGCGTGGCTCAGTTCACTGCAGAGGAGCAGGGCAGACTGGGTGGGGCCAGCTCTGGAATTCTACCCACGGAGCAAAGTCAGGCGGCGGGGGAACAGCTTGAGCCGAAGCCGCTAGTAGGAAGTCCAGCCCAGCAGGTAGAACATGGGATCTGGAAGACGTGGCAGTCACCCAAAAACACAATCTGGTGAAGTCATCTGTGTTGGGGGGAGTGGAAGTCCCGATCAGGAATCCTGTCCAGAAAAGCGGGACTGCAGAAGTCTCATGGTGCACGTAGGCGCCCCAGCCACAGGCAAAGCTTCAAGAGCAGCGCTTCCTCCACTTCCTGTGGGGCAATGGCAAGATCGGGTGGGACCTCAGGCTTCAGGGGCCCAAGAACAGATTATTGGGACAGGACCTCAGACGTAAGGAGAATGACAGATGGGGATCCTCTTAGAGCTGAGGTATGCGATACTGCTCAGTCCCAGGCGTCGTTCAATGCTCAGAGCCAAGACACAAAGTCATGACTGGCCTGGAGACCGGTACAGCTTGATGCTGAGTAAGTTTTAGAGTCTAGAGCTACCGCTGCCTTAGTTCTTCCTGCCTCTTCAGGACCAGTCCCAGAGACCACAACCAGGTAAGAAGCTCAAGTGGCCCCAGCCTTTGGGGGAGAAGGAACCTGACCTCCGCAATAAAAGCAGCCCCACATGACAAGAGCCTCGGTCCCATAAGAGTCCTGCCACAGGGCAGCAGGAATGGGCTACGGACATTTCACAGTGGAACCCACCTGGAAGGACCACACGACTAATGAACAATGGCCCAGTGCCACTCAGATACTAGTTGTACAGGTGGCCTTATATTTCTTGCAAACTAATCGTCCCTGTCAGAAGGCACAATTTCACCACGGAAAAAATGAGCTCCAGTGATGCCTCTGGCTCCCCACCTGGGAGTCTCTATAAGATGTTCCTCCAAGTACTAATTGGATAGAAAAGAACCAAAGGCAGTGGTCTGTGTTTCCTCCTCCTCCTGCAGTAAATGAGCCTATGATTTTAGACATAGAAAAGCAGCTTCGATGCTACATGATATTTCCTCCATAACCCTCTGGTTGTGGGAACAGTCTTTTGCCCCTGAGTCGGAAGACCCCTCTGACTCATCTTGCCACAATCGTGAAGATAATGACCTCTGAGTTCACTCCTCAGCCTGCTACTACAGAGAAAGGCTTCCTGGGGCCCTCACCTGCAGGAGCCGGATCTGTTGTCATCGTCCATGTGAATCATCCAGCCTTCTATTCCAGCAGCTGCCATAAAACACCCGTCCCTACTCCCTGGCAGACAGCCTCTTAACACCCACCTCCCTTCACCTAAGTCCCCAGCAGAGGGCTTGCTGCCTTCCCAGCTCTCCAGGTACTCTCCCCTGATGGAGGATGTTTCTTTCATCAAAATGACTTTCTTCCACCCTGGCTGGTGTGGCTCAGTGGATTCAGTGCTGGCCTGCGAACAAAAGGTTTGCCAGTTCGATTCCCAGTCAGGGCATATGCCTGGGTTGTGGGCCAGGTCCCCAGTAGGAGGCACACAAGAGACAACCACACAAAGATGTTTCTCCCTCTCTTTTCTTCCTCCTTCCTCCTCTCTCTAAAAAATAAGTAAGTGAAATCTGTTTTTAAAAATTACCTTTTTCCTCGACCAAACTCCAGTAGCACCTTGGGATCATACTTATCTCAGCCTGTCTTAAGTTAACTATCGATTCTGTGTCTGTCTCCCCTGTAAGACTGTGAGCTCTGGGAACACGGAGACCGTGTGGTTAAGAGCTTGGGCCCTGGAGTCATAGAGACCTGAGTTTGATTCCTAGCTCTCCACTTTTCTATAAAATGTGGGTGGTGGTTAGAATCAAGCAGGATTACAATATGCACAGCATGGAGCCCAGGGTTAGTAAGCCCTCAATGCTGGTATTGTCCGTGCCATCCCTTTTTCTGGACCTCCTTTAGCTGCTAGAAGAGAATGCATATCAGGATGGAGGTTAAACCCTGGCTGGCTTACTCCCGTCACTGTTGTCCATTTGAAATGTCATCCCTGTTTTTTGCAGAATTCTTTGCACCACGGTGACCAGATTTCCAGTCTTTGAAAGAAGGGCAGAAAATGAGGAGGAAGGAACAGAACACCCTACATAACTTGCTCTCTTTTTTTAAGATTTTATGTATTTATTTCTAGAGGAGAGGGGAAGGAGAGAGGGAGAGAAACATCAATGTATGGTTGCCTCTCGTGCGTCCCCCTGTTGGGAACTGGCCTGCAACCCAGGCATGTGCCCTGACTGGGAATCGAACCGCAGTAGTTTGGTTTGCAGGCCCACACTCAATCCACTGAGCTACACCAGCCAGGGCCATAACTTGCTCTTTTCCAGTAAGAAAACTTGTTGTTGGGACGTGGGGCTTGTGCCCGGGGAAGGTGACAGATGAAGGAATTATTGAGTTAATTCCTCTCAGACAAGGTGCCCAAGATACCCAGTGGGGATGCCCGGGCATAAGGCGGCCTGGAAAATCCCGAAGGACTGTGGGAGATCTCTGTGATTCCAAGATGTGTTCGATGGAAGCAGCCGTCTTTGGGGCTCTTGGCTGGAAAGGGCTCCATTTCCTTGTTCTCTTTGCTCCTTGGAAGTCAAATCTGTCACACAGGGGGCTGGTCACCCGCAGGCTCTGTGGCCCCAACAGTCTCGTCTTGGCAATCTAAGAAAGTCTTTTATGAACCAGTGTAAATACGCTTCATGATTTCAGTTTTCCCTCTTAGGGAGCTCTGGTGACAGGTTATTCTGAGCTGTTCTCACAGCAGCCTGGAGAAGACCCAGAAGAGGCAAGTTCATAATCAAGTCTAGGCTGGGAAGAGCATTAAGAAAATAAATATGCTTCCTGAGAAAAGCCTGCAGATACTTAACAATAGAACGGCCAGTAGAGGAAGAGAGGGAAAGGGTGTACGTAGAAGTAAATGGGGGGCAGGGGAAGAATGTAAAAGTCTTTCTGTGATCTGAAAAAGTAAACATATTACATACTTTTGTATTCACAGGGGAAAGACAGAAAAGAGGACACCCAAACAATGTGCATTTAACAGTGTGATCCCTGGTGGTGGGGTCACAAATACATTCTATATTCTTGACTCTCTTTTATATTTGCAATTTTTTTAAAAGATTTTATTCATTTATTTTTTTAGAGAAAGGGGAAGGGAGGGAGAACAAGAGGAAGAGATGTGTGAGAGAAACATTGGTCGGTTCCCTGTCTCATGCACCCAACTGGGAGACCCAGCCCTCAGCCCAGCCGCGTTCCCTGACCGGAAGTCGAACCGGCAGCCTTTGGTTCACAGACCAACACTTATTCCACGGAGTCGCACCAGCCAGGGCTGTGTCTCTGAACTTTGAATAATGTTAAAAACTCACAAAAATAAAAAAACTGTGGTAATTAGAGGAAATGTTATTTTTTAAGTCATATGTCAATATTGAATAATAAAACGCATAGTGCAGAACAATGCCTATACTATGCTACCATTCATGTAATAAAGGGATCAAATAATACATATTAGTTTGCACATGTATAAAATATTTCTGGAAAATTAAACCAAGGATCAGTTGCAGAGTGGTGACCATGGGAAAAAGAACTAGCCTGTGGGGGACAGAGTGAAAGGGAGACTTTTCACTATAAATCCTCTCTCTTTTTTAAAGATTTTATTTATTTTTAGAGAGGGGGGAAAGGAGAGAGAAAGAGAGGGAGAGAAACATCAATGTGAGGGAGAGACATTGACCTGTTGCCCCGAGTACGCATGCTGACCTGGGACTGAACCCGCAACACAGGCATGTGCCGTGACTGGGAATCGAACCAGCAACCTTTCACTTTCATGACGAGCCCAACCCACTGAGCCACACCGGTCAGGGCACTATAAATCCTCTTATACCTTGTTTTCTTTTATCTAGTAACTATGTAAAAAGTTTTTAAAATACACTTTATGTTTCTGCCCTAATTTTGTAATGCCAACAGTTCCTGAAAACCATCAGAAAACGCATCCTTATAAATAGTCTGTGTTCCCCATTTGAAGGCACAATGTCTGCAAGATTCCAAGCTGCCGTTCACCACACTGTGTGGTGCCATTTATTTATCTAAAGGCCCACGTGTCAAATGCATATCCTCTTTCAGATCCAAAAGAAAAAAATAGTTTTAATATGACCCATCAGCTTTCTATTTTTGCCTCAACTTCCCAGAAGCCTAAAGCTATGTTTTGTCTTAAACCAGATTTCTGGTCAGAGGGAGCGGCCACTCTCTTCCCTGTACCCGCCCCATTCAGTACTTCACTCTCCTCTTTCAAATCTTCTAAAATGGCTTCCCATGGAGTCAGAGCTGTGCCTTTATCTACGTGAAGTTTCAAAACCTTTTTCGAAGGAGTAGGTATGTACTAGTTACCTATTGCTATGAAACAAGCCACTGTAGAATAAAGGGACTTGGAGCAACAATATGTACACTTACTATATCTCACAGTGGCTTTGGGTCAGACATTCAGGAACATTCACACTCACGGTCTTTTGAGAGGCTGAAGCTAAGACGTCAGCCAGAGCTGCAGCTAAACAAGGGCTGGAATGGGGCCGGGACTCTGCCTCCAGAGGCTGGCACGTTGGTGCTGAACGTTGGTGGGAAGCCTTCGATCCGCCCCACGTGGGCCTGTCCACGGGCTGCCTGAGTGTCCTCATTACAGGGTGGCCCACAGAACAGACGGTCCCAGAGACAACACGGTGGAAACCACAGTGCCTTTTATCGCCTTTGCCTCAGAAGTCACACACCTTCACTTCTGCCATACCTTCTTCGTTAGGAGCTTAGAAGTGAGTCACTAAGTCCAGCCACTCTTCAAGGGGAGAGCTGTTCACTTCCAAAAACCGCCACAGGGCATAATAAGTAATTAGCACTAGTCAGTATCAAAGTCAAATGAGAAGTAAAAGGAAGGTCATTTTTCGGAGGGGACACCACCTTCTACATCCTGGGCCCTGTACTTCATATTCGGTATTACATTTAGTTTCAGAAAAACTTAAATCTCAGTTTCACAGATGAGGAGAGGAGACCCTAAGAGGTTGTGTAACTTGTCCAAGGTCACATAGTGAGAAAGTGTCCAGGATCCTGGCAAATACAAGTCAACCTGAAGTCCCGGCTGTGCCGTCACCCTACCCTGGCGAGAAATGGAGAGCAATCCCAATCGTTAGCTCCTCTGCCCCGTCAAGGCCATGGCCACGCCCTGAGGAGAAGTGGGATTAATCCTCCACCTGGAGTGAATTCTAACAGAGCTGCTTAACTCCTCTCTAAACCCTCTGCAATCAAACAGGTGATCATTCTTCTTCGAAGCACGACCCTGCCTTCTGACGTAGCTGGTATTTGCCCAGTCTGAGCAGTGCCGTGCCTGTCCTCACCCCTGCCTTTGAAAGCCAGCCAGCTTCTCCTCCCATTGCAGCTGACTGTGACATAGAGGCCAGTGGGGTCAGTGGAGCAGGGTGACAGAGTACAGGGATGTGTGAGGACAAGGCCCTCCCTCTTACGGGAACTGAGCCAAGCCCAATAGGGTGGAGAGCGCCAGCCCATCTGCCATGGTGCCATGCTGGACTGCAGGGGCCTGATAAGGCCAGGGAGCCACCCACCTAACTCAGCGTCCTCTTCCAAATATAGATTTCTCCCAACACTGCCCTCCTAAGCCATTGGTTGTCACATGGCTACTTATCCCCGAAGGTAGCTGGCGGCCTCTTTGCTGCTGTGAGATGGGACCTGATCCAGGGCAGGACCAGTTCCTTGGGGTGCCAGGCTTACTGGCCACGGGCTGTGAATTCCTAGCTCTCCAGCGCCATGTCTCAGCATTGGCCACTCCATTCCTCTTGGGGAACAGATTTGGTGAAGGATTCTCTGGTCAGCACTGGCCTTTGCGTGGAGAGCTCAGGCCTGGGGGGGCCACGGGAGTCTCAGCCCATCAGGCACAGGTCCTCACGCAGGGTGGAGGTAGGTGGAACCAGCGCTCTTGTCAGAGGCAGAGCTGGGGTGAGAAGGAGGTCAGCTGGGCCGGAGCCAGGGCTCTGGCCTGTACGGCACACAAGGCCATCCTGATGAAGGTGAAAAGCACGAAGAACATCAGTCTGGCAGAACTCTCACGAATTATGAGAACGTCCAAACGTCCGTGGATGGAAGGACTCCACAGTGGACGGATTCGAGGTGAGGGAAGGCATGGAGAGGGCGCTTGCATCAGTTTATGGCCCAAGACGAAGCTCTGGTTAACAGCAGAGCCCTTTCCTGGGTGTGGCCTATGCATTCGAAACCCAGGGCTGCCCCGCCCCACCCCACTTGGTCCTCCACCCTCCTCTCTGTGCTCAGCCTTCTCTCTTAAGTGAAGGAGTGACAAATATTGAGAGGTTATCAGTTGGGGACCACTATCAGGTTGTTAGCTCATGAGAAGAACCCAGGGCTCGT